CCATTCCCGTGAGTATCACTTGCTGACAGTAGACATTTTGGAAAGAAAACGATTGGGAAAGAGAGGACTGTGATTTTTGAAAGGCAGAGGCACTGCACCAAATAAACTAACTGCTGGAAGCCAGTCTGTTCGGTGCAGACTAGCTGCTGCAAAATAAGGAATGATGGGGAAGGGAAGGAGAAGGTAAATATTCTCAGCACCTCGTCCCAGCCAAAAGCATTGGAGAGCCTTTGCTCACAGAACTGAGAAACATGCAAGGAAAAGGGGCAGTGGGAGGACTCCCAATGCTTGCAACGAGAGAGGACCATTGTTTTCTGTGTTTTTATACAGCTCAGAACTTTGGATCTCCTTGTCTGCTCCAAAGCACTGCTTTTCTCCAGCCCATAGATTCATTCACCACATAGAAAATAACATCTTTTGCAGTAGCTCTTCTGGCCTCACAGCACAGGTACAATAAACAGACTGCCATTTACAGGCAGTGGTTTTGGGAAGTGATATGGTGTCCTTCTGTCTCAGGGATGGTGGGGGGAAGCACCTTCATGAGGGTTAAATTAGAACCAGGCTTAGGTATCTAAGCAAAGTTCATTCATTATAAATGCAATAATCCTCATTCAGGATGAAGATCTTCTCCTACAAAATCTAAGTACCTTCCCCTCTCTATTCAGTATGCATGTTCCAAGGTTTTAAACCCACAATTATTTTTAGCAGATTGGTTATCAGGGCTTCTCAAATTTTTCTATTGTCATGACCTGAAATAGTTCTCTGTTCCCTGACTGGTTGATTTAAATATCTCCTTTCTCTAAAAAGCACTAAAAGCCAAAAAAAAAAGAGTCAAAGGAGGTGGTCCTTCCCCCCGCGCCACCCCCACCCACCCCCAGGATGCCGTGGCCTGCCTGTGGCTCATGAACCCCAGGATACCCATTTTTGCAGTTTATGGGTCTTATGTAAACATATACTTTTTATATTTCAGATAAATACAGCTGCATAATTACATACGTCTGCCACCCACTCCCATCCCCAGCCAAGTGGAGAAGAGCTCTTCATTGGGTGTATTAAATGTAATCCCTCTTAATTTTCAATTCTTTTGTGCACAGGCTTTCTTTTAAACTAGTAGATTCTGAATTTATAATAGACCTCTGCAATTTGAGTGCCTTTGTCTTCTGTTTCTTAGTCAGTAAAAGTTATTAAAACACACTCATTAAAACCCTGTTTATTATCTGAATATTCAAATCTAATGGAAAGGAAAGGAAAATGTTCCCTTCTGGAATCGGAGAATGAAGTTCTGATATGATAACAAGAGGGAACAACTATTCCTGTTACAGAGAGAGAGAATCTGAACCTGAGAAGCGAAGAGTTTAAATACACATCAACAAGGTTGCAGGGGGAGGTAAGTAAAATTGCAGGTTAGCAAAGGATGAAAAAAAAAACCAAAGCTTAGCAGCTTTCAGTTCCTATCATCGGAGCACGTGCAAAGTGCATTTTATGCTTTAAAAAAAAGCTTTCGTGCCCATCATCCCTCCTTTCCCTATTCATCTTCTGAAGTAGAGTAAGTTATTAAAAGCTTTATTTTACTTTTCTACCATGCAAGATATTAAAGACCCAGAATAAAAACCTTAGGGGATAACTATATTGCAGAATTCAGGATAGAATTACCCATTAACCTTAAGGAGCACTAAAAAGCATTTTTTGAGGGGGAGGGAAATCTCAGGCAGAATGGCTTTAATATGAGTAGAAAGATATTGCCTGAGCATGGAGTCATACATTCCTATGTCTTTCTCACTACTAGAAAATCAGCAGGAATGCAGATAAATGGATCTGTAGGGCAGACCTCCAACATTTAGGAATGTCAAAAAGACAAGATAGCAGATGCAGTGTTGCAATTCAGTCCTGCTTATTTTGTAAGCATTGTCATGTGCCATAAAAAGGGAAGCATTCGCAGCCACCATTTAAGCCCCACACATGGATCTTGGTATCTGGGAACCCTGAGAAAGCTGCCAGTGTAGGTCTCCCTGCTCATGGTGTGGAGCTTCCCATAGCTGGGTGGCTGGAGAAAAGCCGACCTCCTCTCTGGAATATTCTCCTGAATATTTGCCTGGCATAAATGCTGTCATCTTTCTGGTGTCAGGCACTGCCGATTGTATTTTTCCCCAACACAACCCTCCTATGGCCTACAGGCCCAGAGTCACAAGTTGCTCTTTACTCCTCTCTTCTTATGGCTAACCCTTCTGTAGTAGCCAAAGTGAAGCAGCCATTTCAGGCAACCACAGCTAGAACTTTAGCAACTTTAACATGTATGACTTTAACATCCAAATTTCCTAGCCAGCATGTGTCTTGGTTTCCTTGGGGAGGTATGGGCAATCTGAACCTACTGGCACATCCCTCATCCATCCCAGCGCAGCATTTCCATGTTCCAAAAGTGAGTATAGCTGAACATTTCAGTCCCATCTTTATTCTGGAGGGTTAGGAAAATGTTTGGGGAATGCAACGGATGCCTTACAGCTTACAGAAGCATAAAGCATCCTTAAAAACCTTGAACCCCTTAAACTTAAGCCAAATGTTCCGGGGGGGGGGTTGTTAACATACAAAATGGATTAATTCTAGAAGCTCTTTGCCTGGGATTTCACTGTAAATCCAAGAGGTCCTGATACTTTGTTTTTTAGATCCACCTAGACTAGGCTGGGCAGAAATCTCAGAGACAGCGGGGCAGCAAATTAAGAATGAAACCATACAAATCAGTTGATTTGCTGCTGCCACAAAAAAGTGCAAATGAGGTAGTCCTCAATCTATGAGGACTGAGCCCAAATTTCTGTTACTAAGCAAGACAATCAGTGGTGGGATTTTTTTAAAAAATTACTACCAGTTCTGTGGGCATGGCTTGGTGGGCATGGCTTGGTGAGAGTGACAGGGGAAGGATACCGTAAAATCTCCATTCCCTCCCGATCAGCCGGGACTCAGGAGGCAGAGAATAGATGGGGACGGGGGCAGTCAGAGGTGGTATTTACCAGTTCTCCGAACTAGTCAAAATTTCCACTACCGGTTCTCCAGAACTGGTCAAAACCTGCTGAATACCACCTCTGAAGACAATGGTTAAGTAGGCTTTGCCCCATTTTATGACCTTGCCACAGTTGTTAAGCGAATCACTGCAGTTGTTCATGGCAGTTAAGTGCATCTGGCCTCCCCATTGATTTTGCTTGTCAGAGGATCCCAATCACACAACCCCCTAGATCAGTGTTTCTCAACCTTGGCAACTTGAAGATGTCCGGACTTCATTCGCTGGCTAGGGAATTCTGGGAGTTGAAGTCCGGACATCTTCAAGTTGCCATGGTTGAGAAACTCTGCCCTAGATATTACAACCATCATAAATATATGCTGGTTGCCAAGGGTCAGAATTTTGATCATGTGATCATAGGGATGCTGCAATGGTCATAAGTGTGAAAAATAGTCATGAGTCACTTTTTCAGGGCTATTGCAACCTTGAACAGTCACCAAATGAATGGTCATAAGTCGAGGACTACCTGTAATCTGATATTTAAAACTCAGCCTCTTTCTCACACACCCCACTACAAATTAATGGATTCCTGGCATGATGATCTATGGACTCTCTTGCTCCCCGAATTGAAAAAAGAAGTAGCTTTCTCTGACATAGCTCCTGCAGACCCATATAGGGGTTGAAGGGATGCCTGAAGTAAACAAGATCAAGCACCTCCTCTTAGATCCTTCCCTTTCATTGAAAAATTGATACAAGTAAAGATGGAGGCTATTTGAGGGTAGGGTAACGGCACCCTTTCACTCTAGAAATAATTTCCCCACTACAAAATGGGAACATATAATGGGCATAAGGAATCATCTGGAGGAACAAGAGGAAGAACTGCAACCAACAACAGCAAGATAAAAGAAATTGGAGTCTTGGCCAGAAGTGTAATTTGAGTAAGCATCTTAGACATGAAGCTCACTATTTCTCATGAAGAAAAAGGGAAGCAGGGAGGAAGGAAAGGGGAAGCCCATTCAGACTGTTATTAAAACTTTGTAATAAAAGTAATATTAGCTTGCATGTCTTTGGAAGAGCCAAGGTGGCACAGTGGTTAAATGCAGCACTGCAGGCTACTGCTAGATCAGCAGTTCAGCGGTTCAAATCCCACCGGCTCAGGGTTGACTCAGCCTTCCATCCTTCCGAGGTGGGTAAAATGAGGACCCAGATTGTTGGAGGCAATATGCTGACTCTCTGTAAACCGCTTAGAGAGGCCTGAAAGGCCTATGAAGCAGTATATAAGTCTACTACTGCTAAGGTTTCCACATTTGGTTTATTTCAGTAGTCTCCAATTTTTCTGGCTCTGTTGACCACAGGCAGTGATGGTGGTGGTGGAGAGATGTAATCATTTTGCACACTCGCCCACTGCTTGCATGGCCATAGTGTAGTATCGGGCATTGGACCAGGGATGGGGACTTCTGATCTATTTGACAGAAGGATGGATGGATGGACGGACGGATGGATGGATGAATACACCGAGAGATTTATCGATCTACATTGCAAAAATCTGGATAGGCAATAGTTGTCAGCAAAGAATTAAATGTTTCAGTGTCTCTTTGCTGCCTTCTTGTGGTCACTTTTGCAGCCCCAGAGCTGACATTCCTAACAAAATAGACCATGAGCATAATTATCATTCTCAACCAGCCCTTTGATGCCCATACTATGTGCCAAATATTAATTCCAAACGATTTCTTTATGGCTAAATACTGTAAGCATTTTATTCTTTATCTATTCTCACTGACTAGCAATCCCATCCTCACAGCAGGCAGAGGATAAAAAAAAAATCTTCTGAAAATCCTGTGACATTGTGCAGCAGGAATCAGTTTTAGCCTGTTACATGTTAAGTGGTGGCAAATGTCTAAAACGGATAAAAATAAGATGACTAAAGCCACAGTTCTTTGGCAATACCCAAAGGACCTGAATGCTTGCACCAGAAGCCCTTCCTTCAGCTACAGATAAGAAAGCCTTTTACCCTGAGATGAGGAGTTGAGAGCAGCTGAAGCAGTTCCTTTTCATCATTATTCATTGGTGCAGTCTGCAATTCCTCCATTACCTTAATAAAAAGAAAAAGAAAAAAGACAAGAAATTCACACACAAACAAAACAGACCAGACAACAAACGCTTTTCTGATCATACATCCAGCGATTTGTTTGCTAATTTTAGGACCACACTCTAGAAAAGAACATACATCCAGAGAAGAAGCCCTAAAATGTATCAGCATTACAGAAAAACAAAGCTGGAAAGGCCATGGGAGATCTTCTAGTCCAACCCTTGTATCATCCTACAAACATACATAAAATTAAAAAGGACCAGAGAAACACAATGGAGCTGACTTGTACCAAATATTGGAAGCAGGCCTGCTGCAGAAAAGCAATTACTTCCAGCAATCTCCATTTATAAATGTTTCACTAATATTCTAAGAATACCAAAGCCCAGAAACCAAGAATGACATACTGGGGTTCTTCTAAGCCAGGGGTGTCAAACTCAATTTCATTGAGGGCCGCATCAGGGTTGTGTTTGACCTGGCGGAGGCAGGGGGGGCATAGCCAGGATGGGTGTGGCCAGCTCAACATCAGTTTTCAACCACAACGGCTTCCTGCAGCTCTCTCTGCCAATGAAAACAGAGCTCGATGGGCTGCACACAGCCCTTCTGAGCGCCGTTTTCGCTGGCAGAGGCACCACGGGCCAGTCCTTCACTGTTTCCAGGGTGACTCTGGAGGCCAAATCTAAGCACCTTGAGTTTGACACCTTTGTTCTAAGCAGTTTCCTTTATTGTCCCTCATCTACAGACAGAAACCTTCCCAAACTGAAGAAGGCTACTTACTCCATTAAACAAATATTCTGAGAACGCCAAAGGAAAAGCTATTTCAACTCTCTTCCACACAAACTTCTCTGTCTTTTGCTACTCTGGCATGCCCTCCCTCCTTCCTGGGAATCCAGACTACGTTCCACCATTAAACTGGTGGGTGATACTGTAGCCCAGGGCTTTACTTTGTGGGTGGGCGATGGCAGTCCAATGCTCCTCTATCTAGAAAAGGCATAAGTGAACTGAAGGTGGTTGAGTTCATCCTTGAGATCCATAAAGGACAACTGAGAGCAGTTTTACTAGTTTGTCTTTTGATTCACATTTGTTTTGACTAGTCACTTCCCCTCGGCAACCTTAAACACTCAAAGAGCCAGAAAGGCCCTAACCAAAAGCCCCCCCAATTCTGGAGCTAACCGGAAGTCCGGTTCCCCACCATAGAGTCTACTCCTAGCGCGTCCTTTTTGATCTGCTGACTAAGAAGTCCAGTCTCCCACCACCACCACAGAGTCTCCTCCTAGCACAGCATCCTTTTTCCTCTACCTGCCCTAACTGAAAGCCTTATCAATTGTGGAGCCAACTGTGACAGGGAACCATAGCAGAGGGATGAAAGAGCCATATGTAGCTCCAGGACCGTGGGTTGCTGACCCCTGCCCTAGGAAAACCTTTTTTGCAGGGAGACAAAGTCTTCGTACTTCCATGCATTTTGTGAGAGCATTACCACAATATGGTCTCAGAATTTCAAGATAGTCATCCAGTCACAAAAAGGAAAAGAAAATGGCAATGTCTGGATTTACTTCCTGACTGGTAACATCATGTTCAGCCTTGCAGAAGAAAGCAGCATGCTGATATTTTCTGAACATGCAGAATATTTTCTAATGCTGAGTTAAGATACCTCACAAAGAAAGAGCAAAGAAGAATATAATGGACGTACTGTAAATTCTGAGAATTCCTCCACAGCCAATGCTATTTCACTAACAATTCAGAATAGGCCATTTTGTGGAAGCAATTCAAAACTGGCAAACACCAGAGTGAGTGAGCCCAAAACTATCAACTGTGCATCAGTTCTTCTAAGTTGTGCCATCTAGTAATTTCCTCCAGCCCTAATATTAAGGCAGTGATCCAGAGTGATCTCCCACATTATGCCATTTGAGGTGGAAAGGATCACCACAAATCTTTCATCCTGCAACCTCACAGCTGTCCTCTAAACAATGTTTTTCAGCCTTGGCAAGTTTAACACTGCAAAATTGGAGTTCAGAGAAAAAAATGGCAAATTAAAGATAACTCTTCATTCTGTTTCCGTCCCTTTGCCCTTTCCCAGATGAACTTACATCTTCAGCGAGAGCAGAGGCACTATGCAGTACTGGGACCGGACTGTGTTGTTCATAATGGCACAATTTTTCATGAATCTGAAACAGAGAACAGACAATATACACATGTACACATGTACAAAACATCCAGTGGTTGCAGCTATCTAGGAAACAGACTCTTTCAAGATAATGATTTACTTCAATCAAATGAAATATCCAACATGTGAGACTGTGGAAAAGAAAAGCTTGCTCCAATTTCTCATTTTAATCTCAGACAATCAGTTTTGGGAATCTATATGTTGGCTAGAACATAACAGGTTTTTTTTAAAAAAATCTATGTGGCTACAGCAGCATCTGCTGCTTGATGGCTCTTGCAATTTTTATTTTCATAGCACAGGATGCTTGAGGGCTGAGATGGCAGGACTGAAAAAGAAAACTCTGGGAAGTGGGAAAGCAGCAGATGCCAGGCTGGCCAGATGTTATGGGAGTGGAAGGAGGGATCCCCTCTCTAACACTCAGTGCCTCTTTGAAAACAAGGAAAAAAACATATTCTGTCCCCAAAGGCAAAGATTTTATGGTGTAAATAATCCTCCAGAGCCTCAGAGTTTCTCCCTGAGTTATGAGTTTCCATGTATTTATTTATTTGTGATTTTTAAAAGTAATACAGAAAAATTAGTAACATATAAGAATTGCATATTAATGGTTCTGAGTTCTTTATTAATTCAGTTTAGGTCAATAAATCATATGGGATAATAATTGTAATACTGTGTGTATAATAATATATAACTGTAATTAAAATATAATGTATAATTATAATGTAATATTTAATAATAATTGGTTAATTAATTGTATTTAATTTTAGTTAGGCTTAAATAAATGTTGCATCCACTTAAAATTCACTCAAATGAAATTCTCATGCCAGGCTCTGACCACTTTCTGAACTGCAACCAGCTGAAAACATCTGTACAAAAGTTCGGGTGCCTCAACTCCTCATTAAAAGGATTGTGAAATTCCCAAAATTCCCAGATTTTTACCAGACTATAATCTCATATATGCTAAGCAGGGAGATAAACATTTGGTCACGCATTTGGCCAATCCCATATTAGTTCTATTCTTTGAATATTGATTAGATTCCTTGAACTTCACATACTACACTGTTAGATTTCTCACGAGTCCTTCAATCTTTTCCCTGGGCATTCCTTGGGCATGCCATGAATTTAATATTTTGTTTTATGAAGGAACAAATACATAATTTGGCTTCTGTGGATTATACAAAGAATTATAGGAACTATGGACTGTTGGTATAGTATACAATAGTCCCCAGAAGGTTGCACACAATTTCTTAGCCAAACTTATCATTGTTGAGACAGAACAAGTTGCCTTCTGGGTATTCTCTGATTGCCCACAACCTGCACTATGGCAATCATCTTATGAATGAACTGGATCCCATGCTATGACTACTGTTTCACAGGAAACCTACAGCATACTTCCCAGTTCCAAATTGGACTAAAAGTTTGAAAAAATTGACATCTCCTGTAACAATTCATCACCTATAACCCATAACGTATAAAGAATTATATGTTTCTTAAAGAAGAACTATGCACTGTTGGTACAGTATAAAAACCAACAATAGGGATTGATGCTTCAGAAACAGAATTCATGTACTTGTATTTCTTTTGAAATGTGTTTTGGAGGAAATGTGTTTCCTCCAAAAGTGTTTCTGTCCATTGTTATTAACTGAAAATACAGTCTCCCAAGTTCTGCAGAGATTAACAAACAAAATCTATATATTATAGTGTTTTTCTTTCCTTTCAAAGTGTGAGCAAAGACCTTGAATGCAAGCTTTATTATCAAGCTTATTTCAAAGAGATTCAATGTGTTTGTTTGTTTTAAAAAAAGAAGACACTTTCACAAGTATATGCATTTACAGCAAGATACAATTGGTTTAAAAACAGGAATTTGAGCACAATTATTTGTGGACTAAAATGCTACCCCTCTAAATCTAAATTGTTGTTTTTGCTTTGTATATTTAACTCCAACTCACCAGGATGCTAAACTGCAAATTTATGTTGACAGAATAGTACAAACTCTTCCATTTGATGAAACAGCTATAATGTAATAGTCTTGTAAACAACTTCCGTGAACTTTTGATTTTACAGACCTTGTTTACCAAACTTGGCCAAAACAGACAAAATCTAGCTATACTGCATCCTGGTGCACATGCATAAAATCCTGGTAGATATTTTATATACATTTTATATAAATTTTACATTCAGATATTCCTTGGCTTACAACCTGTGGCTTAGCCACCATTCGAAATTATGACAGATCCTGAAAAAGTTCCAATGGCCACCCCTTCCCTACAGCCACATGGCCAGACTTTCAAAACTCAGCAACTAGCCCACATTTACAGGGTCCTCTTTATCACCATCTAATTCACTTAACCACCACTGCAAAAAAAAGGGGTGTGTCATGTGATGGCCCAATTAACAAATATGATGACTGTCAACCATAATCGTAAGTTCTAGTTAAGGATTATATATAAACATGTCAGTTTACATATGTGTAAAATGTATAAACATAAAACACACATGCAAAAAGGCCCACCTGGATTTAACAGACACTCTCATTTAATAGGCATCCCCTCCTCCCATTAACCATTAAACCTTCCATTTAATTAGCATCTTTAAATCAAGAATTATTTCACTGACAAACTTTTATTCTTTCCATCTGATATGCTAACAAAACATCTATGCGATTAGAACCAGAGGAATGATAAGAAAAAAAGCAATTGACTAGCTTCTCTTAACGTTTCATTCCTCTCAATTACATTTTCCTTTTCATTCGTGAATAATACATTTGTTTTCAGGAGTTCAAGTTTCACTATTTTCAATTAAACCCCAGCTTTCTATGCCCACAACTTAAAGTGTTTTCCATCCAATTGACAAGTTATTTTCAGCAATTCTATCATGCGTGTGGGGCAAAAACACCAGCAAGTATCAAGGTTGTCAAATTTCAATCAGATTGGATTAAGTATTTTTATTTTACAAGAAAAGTTAAATAGCCGTAGCCTTTTATTTAAGCAGAACTCCAAATTGGTTTCTTCCCTATCATTTGCGGGGGGGGTGGTGGTGTTAATAACTTGTCCATGCTGTTGTAAATCATTTCAATTTCTCGACTCTTCAGAAAATGTTACTTCCCATTCATGGTCATGAGAAACCAAAGAATTATCCCATGTTTTGTTTTCCAAATATTTCCAAATCCAATGCATATAATCACTTGTGCATTCAAGCAGTAAATTGTATGTTGTGAAGTGGAAAGGTTTGCATTATTCATCTTTCACTGATTACATCCTAAGAACATCAGAAGAGCTTTAGACCAACTAAAGCTGTTTCTCCAGGGTTCATCAGAAACTTCTACAGGGATGGGATAGGGGTAAAAAACAAACAAATCCACAAATAGATAGTGACAACAGGATAATTGAGGCCTGGACACTCATGGACACTCATGTGATGCTCAATTGAGGGCTTGAGCATCCTGCGAGGGCTTTAATTATGCTGCTATCTTGATTCCTATCACCACTATCCCATATTTTGCTTATTACAGTCAATAGGCCACAAAGAAAAGACAACACCATATTCTAAAAGTCTGATAGATTCTGGCACTTAGTTTCCACCACTTTCTTATTACACCATTGGACCCTAAGTTATGTAAAATCTTTACTATTAATAAGCAAGCAAAAGGCTACGGCTTGGGTGAAAACTCAAAGTAGGCGAAGCCAAGTACCTTTGAGGAGCTGTGGAATGTATGTTGTCGGAGTTCACAAAACTTTGTGTGTGCTCAGAAACATGCACTGTAGCATATTCACACATCAAGTTGTCCAGTTTTGGGCCCCAAGTTTGAATATCAGGCAAAGAGGAAAACTAGGAAGCTAACAGAAAGATTTTCTCTACAGAAAAATATTTACTTTCATTAAGCAGCTGAGGCTTCTCTCACTAAAAATGTCTCTCAGGAATACCATCTCCTCCTTATGATTGGAGTCAGGCCTCAGCTGTGAGGTCAGGAGGGCAAGCGTCTCATGCAAACCTAAAGAATCAATATAAAAGGGACTGGTCAGAATGCCCATGATCAAATTGTAAAATAGCATTTTACAGAAGTTTAATCTGTCCCAAAGAAGGACTTTACAATATCCCTTTGAAATATCAGCTGAAAGCCAGAAAATTGGAAGAAAGAAATCCCTTAAAGCAAAACTCAAAGTTGCAACCTTGAAATGTCTGGATTTCAACTCTCAGAATTCCTTAGTTTATTTTTCACATTTCTGATGGAGATTCCAGTTAGAGTTCCAAATCCAAATTTTAGTTTATTGGTCTAGACCATCCAGGTCTGGTGCTAGGTTGTTCTCTATCTTTTTTTCTTTCTCTCTCCCATCAGCCAAAACAACAACACTGACGTTAGAAAAGGTACTCTCCATCCTGAGGCCTATTCTTAGAATTCCATCTCTTCAGGAAAATTGCTTAGCATGTTCTGCTATTATTTTGGTACCCAGGCTTTCAAGATTCCCTTTCTTTGTAGATTGTGCATCTTTTATTCATCGATCCATAAGATTGTTTTTAGTAACCAATTCTAGCCGCTTCACATATCTGATCACTTTTATCCCATTTTTTGTATATGTAGGTTCAGAGCTCTACATCAGAAGGATCAGAGTCAAAATGGGACAGATAAAGGGAAAAAGGAAGGATTAGTTGAAAACTATTCCAAATCTGTGCAAATGGCTTCTTACAATGGGATTGACTTATCTCAAGGAGAATTAGCCTTAAGCACCATGTACATCCTTGAATGCTGGATATCAGCTGGAAAAGCAAACTGGAGTCGAGAAAATTCTCGACTAAGAATTCATTATTCTTAGAATAGGTATTAGTAACTTCTTGATCCCATGCAATGCCATGGGTACCAAAATATAAACATTTTTTTTTAAAAAAAGTGAAGCAAATAAAACAAAAATCAATTGATTGTATTTATTTTACCCTGGAAGTTACTATCTGGTGCAGAGTTTTGCAGACTTGAGAATTTCAAGATCTGTGAATTTCAACTCCCAGAATTCCCAAAGCAGTTTCGCTGGCTGCAGAATTCTGGGAGTTCAAGTTCACACATTTTAAAGTTCCAAGTTTGAAAAACACTAGTGGCATGCAGTGATGTATTAACCACTAAGCAGACTAAGCATGTGCTTAGGGCACCTGGCTCAAAGGGGCACCACAAAGTTGAGAAAGAAAGAAAAAGCAATGAAGATTTGTACAATATATACAAAGGAGGTGGGCACCAAGATTTGTCAGTGCTTAGGGCACTAGTGAGCTTTAATCTGCCCACTAATGGCACGGTAGATGTGGCCATATTGTCAATCAGTGGCAGATTAACCCCCCTTTCCAAGATTATAACAGTTATAAATCTGATAAATTTTAAATGACTACATCTTCCAAATATCCACTGGAAATTCTGACCCACGTTAGTTGTACTGGTTCCACCACAAAACCGCAGTAGACTAAAGCGCGCTCGACTAAAGCGCGTACGTGACGTCATCACAGCGCGAAGAAAACAGCACGCTGTGAGCGGTAAACTTAAAATTAA